CGCCCATTGTTAAAGAATTAAGTCTAAAATACCAAAATGGGCCACGCACACTATCAAATCAACATAACGAGTCTGTTAAAACAATTAGAGTTAAAATATCGAAGTCGGCAATAACCACTACCAAATTAGTATAGTGATAGCTATAGTTATATAACCCTACCAAGTGTACTAGTTATCAAGTAATATAAAAATATCGTTCCCACGAGGATTTAACAAAATAAGTATTAGAACTACAGTCTTCCTTAATTATTTGGACAACTGAAATTCAGATCCAACAATAAGAACTACTAAAAATTAAAAATAGAGAAAGAAAATAAAAGCAAGGGTAATCAATAACTGAATATGCAACGATTAATTGAAATCGCTAGGACCATTGGTCCGCCTAACCATTCCAATGAATATTAATGGATGAGATTAACTAAGATAATTTGTCATTTCCATAAGCTGAAGTTTCTCCAATTTTATTTAATATTCTTTTCCAAGATATATTAAATCTACTTCTATCAAATAACCATTCGATCCCTCGACTAGAGTTCTCAAGATAGAAATGCATTAAGTTCAAAGAAAAACTTATACGTTCAGATGAATCATGTGTATATATCCCTATATACCTTTCAATTCACACAATGAATTATTCGGTCCACTATATGAATTCCTCTCCCGATTCATTTACATAAACCCAATCAATTAAGAGATGCCACTCCTAATCGCATTAAGCATAATAACTCATAGACTATATGGAAATCACAATCTTGGATAAATCATAATAAAACTATATTCATTGTCATGGTTAGGCTTTCCACAACCCTAGATATAAAGAAATCAATTCATGATAAAGGAAATAAAACAAACAAGAGGAAAGAAAGAACTCATGATGTTGCCCTTGGAGCTAAGATCCTCTCTTCTTCTTGCCGCCACCTCCTTCTTGAAACTTTCTTGCCTCGTTGATTTCTTTCTTGAAACTTTCTTGATTGTCTTCTTGATTGCTTCAGAGGGAGCTTCAGTAATTGATAGATTGATTCCTTCTAGGTCTGGTACGCCCACCCTTTATATAGTTTTTGGGGAGGGGCTGTTGCGACTACTTGGAGTTATCTCAAGAATAGATAATCCATGTTAGTTTTACACTGATTCTATCCTACCTTATCTTATTTCTTATCTAATGATTTCAAATCTTCTTTTAACTTTCTAGAATTACAATTAGAATTCAAATCTAAGGGGATTTTGGATTCTTGAATTCGAGTGGGCTGCTTTAATAAGTTGGGCTGCTATAAGGCTTTTCTGCGAATTGTGCTTTAGTTGTGAGCTGGGCTTTACTATGGATCCACTTCGACTTTGGGCCCGACTTTGACTTCGGTGCAGGCCGAATCTGTCAAAACCCAAAATATGAAAGTTGTAGATCTCGCTCTTATTTTTCCAGTTCATCTTGAATCAGCCCAATCGGAGCTCAGATATGAGAGTTAGGCCTAGATTACTGAACAGTGCCGAAACTGTGAAAAACCATCCGATTAGCCTTGTCTTCCTTCTGACGATTTCTTTCCTTGCCCTGAATCAAAATACCAGCGTAATGAGTCCAATTAAGTGTTAATTAAGTGTAAAAAGACTGAATATTCATAGATAAGAATATGATAATTTTTATTCACATCATATAGTGAGTCCCACTTATCAGCAGGGCCCACTGTTAAAAATATTTAAGTGGGTCGTGACCACCATTAAATCAACATAGTAGATCACACTTATTTCCAATCAACCAGACCCACTATTAAGATGTGTAAGTTTAAAATACATTGGCCAATAGTGGGTGGGTCCCATGACCCATCCACCGATTGTGGGGCTCACTCATTGGAATAACCCACTGAGAGCCCAAGCTGATGGGCCTACTTATACCTGTTATCGGGTTTAACCCTTGTGAGGTAATTCTTTCACATAAAATCAAAATCAAAGAGCATTTCCTCTAAGGAATATAATTAAGGAGTTCTAGTAGACATAGTGTATACTTAAATACTCTTAATAGAAAAACCCAAATTCTATTCAAGTTCTTTTTTGTGTTTTCTGATCAAAACATAATTTTGGTAAGTATAATTATGCACTATGTTTGCTAAACAAAGTGTATAAGTATGCACTATGTCTGCTAAAACCGCTTAATTATATTCCTTAGAGGAAATATCCTTTAATTTTGATTTTATATAAAAGAATTACTTTGTAAGGGTTACACCCAATAATAGGTATAAGTAGGACCATCAACTTGGGCTCTCATTAGGTTATACAAATGAGTGGGACCCACCCACTATTGAATAATTATGTGTTTTAAACTTACTCATTTTAACAAAGGGTCTCGTTGATTGCTAATAAGAGGAACCCACTATGTTCATTTACTTGCAAACATGGCCCACTTAAATATTTTAACAATGGGCCCCACAAATAAGTGGGATCCACTACTGATTTTAAACTCGAATATTTCAATAGTGGACCCCACTGATAAGTGAGACATTGCTGTTTTAATAGTGGGCATGGCCCACTTTAATGTTTGAAGCTTAAATGTTCTAACAGTGGGACCCGCAATACTGGCTTGATAGTGGGACCCACTATGTTGCATGGACTCCAAATCAGTTTACTTGTAACCTATTATAGGTATGGTCCATTAGAGTATTAAATCCTTATTATTATACTTTGCTTTTGTTTATGGTGGATGGGACCCACCAAGCCCAAAAATTATTCAATTTTTTTTTGTAACAGTGGATAATTCACTGTTAAATTCTTTGATGTGGATAAAATCCACCGAATATTACAATGGATTAATTTCTAAATATTAAATCTTATTTCAGTTTATAGTGGGTGAGGCCCACCAAACCAGCACACCTGTTATAACAAATGAATTCACTGTTAAATTTGTAAGGTGGATAAGATCCACTAATAGTGGGTTGATGAGACTAAAAAGTATCATATTTTTATCTCCAAATATTCATTCTTTTTCATTAATTTATTACTTAATTGGTCTCATTATTCTTGTATTTCGATTCAGAGCAACTCTTTTTCATTAATTTATCACTTAATTGGTCTCATTACTCTTGTATTTCGATTCAGGGCAAGCAAGAAGGCAATTGGAAGAAAACAAGGCAAATCGGATGATTTTGCACAGTTTCGGCAACAGTAAGTAATCTGGGCATAACTCTCAATTCCGGACTCCGAATTGGACAATTCAAGAGGCATCGGAAAGATGAAAGAAAGGACCACAACATTTATGTTTTGGGTTTTGACAGATTTGGTCCGCATCGAATATGAAACCGGGCCCGAAGTTGGAGCAAGTTCGCAGCCATACCCATTTCACAGCTGAAGCCCAACTTGCAGAAGAGCCTTGTAACAGCCCAAGTTTTAAAGCAACCCAACTCGAACTCAATAGCCAAGAGTCCCAATTTCGAATGTAAACTCCTGAGAGAGAGTCTTATCAGATCTAAAGTTTTGAATGTAATCCTAGAGAGATAAGAAGATTAAGACTAGATCATTAGATAAGAGATATGATAGGATTAGTTCAAAACAAATCAGGACTATCTAACTAAGGTTAATCTCCTAGAAGGAGTTGAAAAACAACTCTCTCCCTCTGCTATATAAAAAGGGGGGTGGACCAGCTTTAAGCATCACTCAAGCATTTAAGAAATCATCAAGCAACTCAAGCTACCAAGAAGATCAGTTCGGCCTACTGAGAAGCAAAGCTTGGAGGGTGCAAAAATCATGAGCAACTAAGCTTTTTCTTTTCTGGTTCAAGGGGGAGGTTCGATTGTATCATCGTGAGGTTCTGTATTTAATTCAAATTCTTGTTTTTAATTCAAGTATTCATTGATTCTTGTGCATATTCTCATTGGATGTTAATGTTAATTAGTCTGACAAATTAATTAATGTTGATTTTCCTACTACTATCCATGGTTCGGTGATCCGTAATTGTCACGAATAGTGGAACAAGTAGCAATTAGGTTAATATCTTTCTGGGTCAATTGTTCGTGACAGCCTTTGACCAATGTATTGACATGTTTTAACCTAAGGGGAATCGATGGAAAAAGATTCGATAATTGCAGCTATCTCAATT